GTCAGAAAGAGCCAACTGTCGAAGCTGAAGACCGAGTGTGGCAGCATCGTTTCCGGGACACCTGAGATTTTGAGTGAGATTAAGAGGTTCTATGGGCAGCTGTACACGTCATCGTTGGAGCCACATGCAAGTGTGAGTAACGATCCAAGAGCGAGTCTTATCCGATACTATTCCAAAGATATCGCGGACGTCAGTCTGAGCGAGATTAGAATGGCTCTCCAGCACCTTAAAAACGGTAAGTCCCCGGGCGAGGATGGAATTACAGCGGAGCTTTTGAAAGGGGGTGGAAAACCGGTACTTGAAGTCCTTCAGAAGATTTTTAATTCCGTCCTCCATGGTGGCACTACTCCGGAGGCGTGGAGCAGAAATGCGGTGGTCTTGTTCTTCAAGAAAGGCGACAACGCTCTCTTGAAGAACTACAGACCGATTTCCCTTCTGAGCCGCGACTACGTGCTATTTTCGAGAGTCATTACGAATCGTCTCGCACGCAGACTTGACGACTTCCAGCCTCCCGAACAAGCCGGTTTCCGAAAGGGCTTTAGTACCATAGACCACATTCACACCCTTCGGTAAATTGTACAGGAGTGTAATCTGCCAATATGCCTTGCGTATGTGGACTATGAGAAAGCCTTTGATTGCGTCGAAATTTGGGCGGTGCTGCAGTCCCTTCAGCGTTGCCAAGTTGACTGTCGGTATATCCAACGGCAGAGAGGTATAAGACAGGGTGACGTTATATCCTCGAAACTTCACCGCTGCATTGGAAGACGTTTTCAAGCTTCTGGACTGGAAAGGATACGGTATTAACATCAATGGCGAGTACATCACTCACTGTTCGAGCCCAAACGCTGGTTTCAAGATTTGACGCCAGAGGGCGCTCGGCTCGGTACCATACCTGTTTTGACGTTCGGGCGAGCGGAGTGGGTTTGGCAGAGGGCGCGAGCGCAGAACGTGAGTGCAACGAGTTGCTTGAATGCAGTGCTGTCAATAGCACGTCGTGAGGTCGCCCGGGATGACCTTCATTTTTTAGAGTCGGTTTTGTTAGCAAATTGATGCAACGACGAGGGTTTTAATAAGTCTAGACAAACAGACGCCGGTTTGATTAATTATTTAGAATTAATATTGATTGCGACCAACGTCCGGTTTTTTGATGCGTGTGGAATTTACTATTGGAGTTTTTAGCTTCTAGTTTGCTTATCCTTAGTGCGTTCACACGATGACGAAACAGTAATAATTTGATGGATTAACCTAAATTCGTTGACAAGTAATTTACGTAACTTGTAGTGATTTGTGATCGGTTGAATGCTGAACTTTGTGAATCGTGGAGATCGGGTTAGTTCCCTATTTGTAATTTGGTGATAAATGAACTCGGAATATTGAATGTTGAACTTTGAACTACTGTCCGTTACTCGAGTCGATTATCACGTGTTTGATTCTCCGATGAACGTTGAATTAGTTGCGTTTTGAAGTTAGTTAAATGTACAATAAAGTTGATAGACTGCAATAGTGACATGAAGAAAGAAATTGACCGTGGGTGACGCCGCTGGAGATTACCACAATTTGGAGCGGTGTCGGAGTCAGGGTTGCTGCCGACTTCAACGATCCAGTCAGGTCAACCACAATCCACACCACTAAAAACACAACTACACATTCACCTACACACCTTCGGCCTGACCGAACCTTTGGGACAGTCTTCGCCTCAAACCCAGGTACGTACTATTTATTTGACTAGCCTTCTCCCTATAGTGAAGTAGGATAGGATAAATTACCATATGGCCATTTGGGCCCGACCCTAGGCTGCCCGTTGAATCTTCCGCTCATGGGCCCCGGGGTATTTGATCCTTGTAGGGGCAGCTGTAGGCCGTAACACTCACCTTCGATTTGCGGACGATATAGTCCCCATGGCAGAATCGCTGGAGGAACTAAGCACTATGCTCCATGACCTCAATAATGTCTCCCAACGGATAGGTCTTAAGATGAACATGGACAAAAAAAAATATATTTAACGTCCATGTCACACCTATGCCGGTAGTTATGGGGAGCACTAAGCTCGAAGTTGTTGACGAGTATGTTTACCTGGGACAAATAGTCCGACTAGGTAAGTACAACTTCGACCGAGATGTCAATCGACGGATTCTACTCGGCTGAGCAGCATTCGAGAAACTACGACACATATTCTCGTTAGACATACCTCAAAACCTAAAAACGAAATTGTACAACCAGTGCGTGTTACCAGTGATGACTTACGGATCTGAGAAGTGGTCCTTCACTGCGTCGCTCAGTGAGCTATGGAGAGGGCTATGCTCGGGGTTTCTCTGCGTGATAAACTTAGAAATGACGATATCCGCAGTAGAACCAGAGTAACCGACATAGTCCAACGGATTAGTAAGCTGAAGTGGCAGTAGGCCGGCCATATAGCTCGAAGTACCGACAACCGATGGGGTAGAAAGGTTCTCGAGTGGCAGCCTCTAACCGGTAGGCGAAGTGTAGGGCGACCTCGCACTAGATGGATTGACGACCTGGTAAGACATGCAGGAAGTCGATGGATGCAGGTGGCTCAGGACCGTGCTTTGTGGCATTCCTTGGGGGAGGCCTATGTTTAGCAGTGGACTTATGAATGATATAATTACCTGTTTATCGCGTGATAAAACTAGGTTTTATTAAGTTTAAAGTAGTGCGATAGTGTTGTATAGTGTTTAGTAAATCACTGCAGTTACTTATTGCAATTCTACGAAATGTCAACGCCGACAAAGGTATGTAGGAAGACATTTAAGTATTGTGATTTTGTTAGTAAATGAATGTAAATAAATAACCAAAAGCTCCTAATTTTTGAGTAGCGATTATTCTTGGCTTTGCCTGCGTGAGAGTGGCCACGTGCTTTTCGTGCTTAACTTTGGTTAAGCGTTGCCGCCACTGAGCTTTAGGCAACTGTCTGTTCTCCTTCTATTGCTTACTTAATTTGTTACCTACTCAGCTAAAGTAATTGTTGTTAGATGTAAGGTTTTGTATATAACTGAACCGACTGGGAAAGTACCTACCTACATCTGCCCTACAGTTACAGTAAAAGAATCTATAGTGTCATAAATCTGTATGCAGATAGTTGTGTTGGGCAAAACAGAAACCGTGCAATGATATCCACGTTATTTTATTTTTTGAAGACAGCAACTACGATTACTACAATAAAAGTAACTTATCTTCTACCTGGATACACTATGATGCCTGTTGACTCCATTCACAGTACAATTGAAAGTTTTATCCGTAATATAAAACAGTGTGGGCTCCTTCTGAGTGGCCAACTATAATCACTAATTCTAGAACCGATCCAACAAGTTATTTTGTACATGTTTTGAATTATACTGATTTTATGGACTGGAAGTCTTTCTCGCAAGCTTTATTGCCAGCGAAATTTTAAATAGCCTTCAAAACATTAAAAATGGTACATTTTAAAAAGAACAATCAAGTAATTACACTCTAATATGGTTTATTCGAAGATGGAAATAAACAAAAGTTGAATATGGATCTAATTATTAGATCAAGAGGCAATACTGCAACAATAATTAATGGGCCAGTACAGTTATACCATTCGGAACTAAAAATTTCAGCTGCAAAGTACAAAGATCTTCTGGATCTGTGTAATAAAAATATAATACCATGCAGGTACCATGAAGAGTATGTAAATATGAAACATGATGAAGCAGTTCCTGACATGTTACCTGAAACTGATGCAGATGATAGTGATAAGGAGAATTAAAGGTTTAATTTTAGTTGAAATTGGATTATTTGATCTGTGTTCTTTTAAATGTTAAATGATTAGCTGAAACGAATGCAGGTAATACGAAACCTTTGATTTCCTAGATAATTGTTTAAGTTTAATAATTTTGTTTTAAGTTTCATTAATTGATCTCAGTATTCTCTAAAATGTTATAATAATGAGCAATATGTTATATATTTAACTATATTTTTTTTGTTTTGTTTTTATCTATACTAATATTATAAAGCTGCAGTGTTTGTTTGTTTGTTTGTTTAAACGCGCTAATCTCTGGAACTACTGGTCCGATTTGAATGATTCTTTCAGTGTTGGGTAGTCCATTTATCGAGGAAGGCTATAGGCTATGTTTTCTTTTTTCAAAATTAGGGATCCGTAATAAAATTGCTATTTTGTAACACAAGGTGTAAAATCGAAAACCTATTTTTGCGTGCGCTGCAAAACTATTGACAATAAAACAAAATGATGTACTACGGGTTTGTAGATCCCATTAAGACCTACAAAAAAGTCCGCGAGAACATGTATCTAGCTATCATGGTTTAATCACAATAACCGATTTTGTGTTCAAATTAATTATTAAATCGTCTGAAGAAAAAAACTACGTGAAATATGTATCGTAATATTAATTTTTATCGAAATTAAGCATTATGTTATCAAGAGTATTTATGTAGAAGTAAAATACTTTTTGTTTCATCTCAATCGGATATTTCGTTTAAAAGTTATCACGTGTGTAAGATGTTAAGAGTTGGTACCTATTAATGAGTTATGGACCATAGAGTTTTTTATCATCAACATAAAAATCCTGTAATAATCTTTTTCGAAATATAGTAAGTAAGATCTTTGAAGAGTATAATAAATACATTTCTAAAATAACTCTGCTAAGGAAATCCACGCGCGCTTGATGCAAGCAAGACGACGGCGGCGCGGCGGCGGGCGAGACGAGGAGGCCGCGCTTGCTGGCCGCCTGTCGCTCCCCCCCCCCCCCCGCCGCGCCGCCCGCGTGTTTTGGTTTACAAGGTACCATGCCGCGCGGCTCAGACGCGTGGTCGGCTCCCTACGGAACGGTTGAATGCAGCGTTGCGTTTTTTGAAGTCATTTACGATCGTTCCTTTGACATATATTTCATGCGACTTTTAATAATTACTCACCTTACGTTTCTTTTACCTGATTACTACGTTTCAGTTTATTTTAATTAAGTTTTAATTTTATACGGTTTTTCTTATATCTCTTTACTATTATGCCTAGAAAAAGAACTCAGCTTTCTAGGCAGACTGCTACTGCAAAGCGATTGCGACTTCTACGCAGCAATGAAACACCCGAAGAAAATCTGCACAGGTTGGCTACTCAACGAGCGATCAGTGAACAAAACCGTTTTAGGGAATCGAGTGTTGAACGTTCGCAGCGGTTAGTCTCACAAAATATCCGTACTTCGGCGAATCGACAACGGGAATCAAGTGCTGAACGTTCTCAACGTTTAGCCGCACAAAATTCCCGAACTTCGGCAAATCGCGAGCGGGAATCAAGCGCTGAACGTTCTCAACGTTTAGCTACACAGAATTCCCGCACTTTGGCAAACCGGCAACGGGAATCAAGCGCTGAACGTTCTCAACGTTTAGCTACACAGAATTCCCGCACTTTGGCAAACCGGCAACGGGAATCAAGCGCTGAACGTTCTCAACGTTTAGCTACACAGAATTCACGCACTTTGGCAAACCGGGAACGGGAATCAAGTGCTGAACGTTCCCATCGATTAGCACAGCAAAATGCACGAACAGCAGGGAACAGAACTCGCAGGCAATATAATTTATTGAATTCAGCATTTGCTTATGATTATACCCTTGACTATGCTGAGCTAAATGGTACTAATATTTGCAGAATGAATAAAATATGTAATTCATGTCAAGCAAAAAAATGGCCGGCTGAAGCTCCTGGACTGTGTTGTAGTGGTGGCAAAGTAAATATTCCTAAAATTCCAGCACCAACGTCAATTCTTAAAGATCTAATATCAGGCTCACATCCATCTTCTAAGCATTTCTTAAATCACTCTAGACAATATAATACTCTGTTTCAGATGACTTCATTTGGTGCCAAAGAAATTCGTGAAGGAAAATTTATGCCCACTTTTAAAGTCCAGGGGCAAGTTTACCATCTAATCGGTAATTTACTTCCACCTGAAGGCGCACAACCCGAATTTTTGCAAATATATTTTATTTCCCATACAGATCAGGTATCTTTACGCTCAAATTTAAACCCAACGTTAAAAACCGATCTTATCGACGCTCTCCAAACATATCTTCACGAGCACAATACTTATATTCAAAGTTTTAAATATAATCTCGAAAACAGACCAACGAATGATTTTAAACTTATCATTCATGCTGATGTGAAACCTCCTAATGAACATCGAGGTCGATATAACGCGCCCATGGTAGATGAAGTAGCTGTTCTTTTAATAGATGAAGACAAAGGTCCCCGAGATATAGTGTTAAATACCAGAGACGGGCGCCTTCAGCGAGTTTCTGAAATACATAGATCTTATGACCCACTTCAATATCCTTTACTGTTTCCCTTTGGAAATGACGGATATTGTATAAATATTCCACAGCAAAATACTGCTGCTAGATCTAAAACAATATCATGTATGCAGTTTTATGCATTTAGACTCATGGTGAGAATAAATGACTTTAACAGCATACATTATTTCAAAGGATTATTTAATCAATACTGTGTTGATATGGCGGCAAAAATGATTTATGAGAGGCTTGACTTCATAAAAAGAAATCAAAAAAAATTAAGAGCAGAAGAGTACATTCATTTAAGAGATGCCGTGGTTAATGATGGCAATGTAGACGCTTCTAATGTTGGCCAGCACGTTATATTGCCATCGTCATTTACAGGATCTCCTAGATACATGAATGAAAAAAGTCAAGATGCCATGATCTATGTTAGGAAATTTGGAAGACCAGATCTCTTTATAACATTCACATGTAACTCCGAATGGCCAGAAATAAAAATTGAGTTACTACCCGATCAAAATTCTTACGACAGACATGATTTGATTTCTAGAGTATTTCATTTAAAACTAAAAAAAATGATAGACCTATTAACGAAGAAAAATATATTTGGACCATCGAAAGCCTTCGTTTATAGTGTAGAATGGCAAAAAAGAGGTTTACCTCACGCTCACATTTTGTTGTGGCTGGCTAACAAAGTGCAACCGGATTCCATAGATGCAATAATATCGGCTGAAATACCTGACAAACAACAAGACCCAATGCTTTATAACATTGTCATAAAAAATATGATACATGGGCCTTGCGGATTTCACAATCCTGCGTCACCATGTATGAAAGAAAACGTTTGCTCTAAAAAATACCCCAGGCAGTTTATTTCTGAAACACAAACCGGGGATGACGGTTACCCAACCTACAAGCGCCGTTCACCAGATAATGGTGGAAACACCGCAATAATTCGTGTCAAAGGTACAGAAATGAGAGTGGATAATAGGTGGGTTGTTCCCTATAACCCTGTGCTATCACGAAGTTTCAATGCACACATTAACGTAGAGTTTTGCCAATCGGTCAAAGCCATTAAGTACATCTGTAAGTATATCCATAAAGGTTCTGATCAAGCCACATTTTCGTTACAAAATAATAACGATGAAGTAGAAAAATATTTAAATGGTCGCTATATAAGTTCCTCGGAAGCACTGTGGAGAATTTTCCAATTTCCGATTCATGAACGTTTTCCGGCAATAGTTCATTTAGCAGTTCATTTAGAAAATGGACAAAGAGTTTATTTTTATAATAATGAAAATCTTCAATATCGCGTCAACAATCCTTCATCAACGACACTTACAGCGTTCTTTGATCTTTGCAAAAGAGACGAAAACCCTTTTATATCACGAAGTACCCCAGTATTACGTATGGAAAAGAAATTCATTTTCTAGAAGAAGACGTAGACAAGATGTTGAAGGATATCCCGGTATAAAAAAAGACTCAACTTTAGGTCGTGTCTACAACATTCATCCGACACAAACTGAATGTTACTATTTAAGAATGTTACTGCATCATGTTCGCGGTCCAATGTCATTTGAACATCTAAGGACAGTAAATGGTGTTATTTTCAATACTTATCAAGGAGCTTGCAAGAAATTAGGTTTACTGGAGGGAGATGAACATTGGCAAAATACTATGTCAGATGCTGTCATGTCCGAGCCGGCTCCAAAATTAAGGGAATTATTTACCATAATCTTCATATTTTGCCAACCATCTGATCCCTTGCAGCTATGGAACAAATTTCGGGAAGATTTGTGTCAAGATATATTATACAGAATGCGTAATGAGACCCAGGATATGACATTAGCATATAGTGATGACATATACAATGATGGACTTATCATAATTGAAGATAAGATTCATGAGATTTGTGATAAATCATTAACTGATTTTGGGCTTCCTTCAACAAAAAGGAATAACACACACCATAATTTGGATCCTTTAGAAATAGCATTGCGGAAGCCATACGATGTAAATGAATTAAATGAGTATATTACTGTAAATGAACCCAAGTTAGTTAATGACCAGGTGATGGCATACAATAGTGTTATGCACAGTGTTCGTTTCAATGAGGGAAAAATATTTTTTTTGGATGCTCCAGGCGGAACCGGCAAAACTTTCATTACTAATTTGATATTAACAAAAGTAAGGTCTCAGGGAAAACTAGCTTTGGCAGTAGCGTCATCAGGAATCGCTGCAACTTTATTAGCTGGTGGACGCACAGCTCATTCCACTTTTAACCACAAGATGAAGAACATGATTTTTGAAGCCTTAGGTGTAGCAGTTAAAATTCTCGAAAAAACAATAGGTTTAGAGGCTTTTTTGGCGTTTGAAATATTTTTGCCTTCTCAAACGAACCGAAACTTCTCAAACGAAACTTCTTTTGATTCCGGGCGTTTGAGATAACACTTGCGATAAAAAATAAACAGGTTTTAGTTTCAACGTAAGCGAAAATAGGTCATTTTAACTACGGATAAATTTTCATAAATAAATGGGTATTTAATAAATTAATGTAAAAAAAAACAACTTAAATATAGTTAAACTAGCTGTGCCCCGCGGTTTCACCCGCGTTTTTCTCGTTTCCGTGGAAATACCGAGATAAAATATTGCCTATATTATAGCCTCCCTCAATAAATGGACTATTGAATATTTAAACAGTTTTCATATCAGATCAGTATTTCCCGAGATTACCGCGTTCATAACAAACAACCAAACTTTTCAGCTTTATAATATTAAGAAAAATATAGATTAAGTTAAATTGTATAAGTCGCAGGCAATAGCTGTCTGTGTGTTCGACATTTAGCCAGACACATAAGAATTACGACTACAGGCGGTAGTGTCCGTCTACTTTAAACCGGGTTAAAATATTATTTTAAAGTACTTCTGAGTAAATTATATTTTTCGTTTTATTTTCTTGTGGCAGAAGAATATATTGATTGTTTCCGCAACCTGATCTTGACAACGCGACATATAGTTGGCCGTGCGAAAAACAGTCTTGCCGTAAATCTAATCCTACATATTTAAATGTTTGCCCCTGTGATTTATTTATCGTTACGGCAAAAGATAATTTAATTGGGAATTGGACTCTTTTAAAATGAAAAGGCAAATCATTTGGAATCATTGGGATCCGAGGTATAAGTACTGTTTGACCAACCGCTGGACCAGTCAAAACTGTTGCAACGATCACGTTATTGCGAAGAAATTTAACCTGAAGTCGAGTCCCGTTACATAAATTTGGTGGCTTAAGATTTCTAAGTAAAATAATTGGGGCACCAATTTTTAACTTGAGAGAATGTGGGGGGAGGCCACTCGGGTTTAAAGAATTAAGAAATTCCTGTGGATAATGGACTGCATCTTCTTGATCCATTACATTATCAATAGAAGTGTAGGTGACTATATCCCCTGGAAGTTTAGTTAAAATTAAATCGTTAATTTCGTCAACACTACTGTTTCTCGCCGCCAATATTGCTCGTTGACACATCCATTGATAATCTTTATTTTCTATTTCGACGATATCTGGGTAAACTTTTGATATTAAACTCTCAATGCTAGTCACTTTTTCTCCTAAATCTTGATCAATAGGTATTTTATTTTCAAAATGAGGTACTTTTCCGTCTCCAATTAAAAGTAACTTCAAAGGAAAATTTGTACTACCCCCCCCCCCAAATGTGCTCTCATGTTCGTAGATAGATTTAAGGTATGAACAAATTTCCATAATGGAGAACTTTTGAGGCAAGATTTTACAATGTCTGCTCTAGTTCCTCTTACTACTACTGGTAAAGTTTGCCGAAAATCCCCAGCAAACATGACAGTAATCCCACCCATGATTTTATCACAGCTTCTAATATCTCTAAGAGTCCTATCTAGAGCCTCTACGTGAGCTCTATGAATCATGGTACATTCATCCCAGATTATTAAAGTGACGTCTTGCAAAACTTTTCCTAAAGGGCCATTTTTACGAATAGAGCACACGCTATCTTTCTGTAACGAAACGGTTAGGGGCAGTTTAAAAGTGGAATGAGCTGTGCGTCCACCAGCTAATAAAGTTGCAGCGATTCCTGATGACGCTACTGCCAAAGCTAGTTTTCCCTGAGACCTTACTTTTGTTAATATCAAATTAGTAATGAAAGTTTTGCCGGTTCCGCCTGGAGCATCCAAAAAAAATATTTTTCCCTCATTGAAACGAACACTGTGCATAACACTATTGTATGCCATCACCTGGTCATTAACTAACTTGGGTTCATTTACAGTAATATACTCATTTAATTCATTTACATCGTATGGCTTCCGCAATGCTATTTCTAAAGGATCCAAATTATGGTGTGTGTTATTCCTTTTTGTTGAAGGAAGCCCAAAATCAGTTAATGATTTATCACAAATCTCATGAATCTTATCTTCAATTATGATAAGTCCATCATTGTATATGTCATCACTATATGCTAATGTCATATCCTGGGTCTCATTACGCATTCTGTATAATATATCTTGACACAAATCTTCCCGAAATTTGTTCCATAGCTGCAAGGGATCAGATGGTTGGCAAAATATGAAGATTATGGTAAATAATTCCCTTAATTTTGGAGCCGGCTCGGACATGACAGCATCTGACATAGTATTTTGCCAATGTTCATCTCCCTCCAGTAAACCTAATTTCTTGCAAGCTCCTTGATAAGTATTGAAAATAACACCATTTACTGTCCTTAGATGTTCAAATGACATTGGACCGCGAACATGATGCAGTAACATTCTTAAATAGTAACATTCAGTTTGTGTCGGATGAATGTTGTAGACACGACCTAAAGTTGAGTCTTTTTTTATACCGGGATATCCTTCAACATCTTGTCTACGTCTTCTTCTAGAAAATGAATTTCTTTTCCATACGTAATACTGGGGTACTTCGTGATATAAAAGGGTTTTCGTCTCTTTTGCAAAGATCAAAGAACGCTGTAAGTGTCGTTGATGAAGGATTGTTGACGCGATCTTGAAGATTTTCATTATTATAAAAATAAACTCTTTGTCCATTTTCTAAATGAACTGCTAAATGAACTATTGCCGGAAAACGTTCATGAATCGGAAATTGGAAAATTCTCCACAGTGCTTCCGAGGAACTTATATAGCGACCATTTAAATATTTTTCTACTTCATCGTTATTATTTTGTAACGAAAATGTGGCTTGATCAGAACCTTTATGGATATACTTACAGATGTACTTAATGGCTTTGACCGATTGGCAAAACTCTACGTTAATGTGTGCATTGAAACTTCGTGATAGCACAGGGTTATAGGGAACAACCCACCTATTATCCACTCTCATTTCTGTACCTTTGACACGAATTATTGCGGTGTTTCCACCATTATCTGGTGAACGGCGCTTGTAGGTTGGGTAACCGTCATCCCCGGTTTGTGTTTCAGAAATAAACTGCCTGGGGTATTTTTTAGAGCAAACGTTTTCTTTCATACATGGTGACGCAGGATTGTGAAATCCGCAAGGCCCATGTATCATATTTTTTATGACAATGTTATAAAGCATTGGGTCTTGTTGTTTGTCAGGTATTTCAGCCGATATTATTGCATCTATGGAATCCGGTTGCACTTTGTTAGCCAGCCACAACAAAATGTGAGCGTGAGGTAAACCTCTTTTTTGCCATTCTACACTATAAACGAAGGCTTTCGATGGTCCAAATATATTTTTCTTCGTTAATAGGTCTATCATTTTTTTTAGTTTTAAATGAAATACTCTAGAAATCAAATCATGTCTGTCGTAAGAATTTTGATCGGGTAGTAACTCAATTTTTATTTCTGGCCATTCGGAGTTACATGTGAATGTTATAAAGAGATCTGGTCTTCCAAATTTCCTAACATAGATCATGGCATCTTGACTTTTTTCATTCATGTATCTAGGAGATCCTGTAAATGACGATGGCAATATAACGTGCTGGCCAACATTAGAAGCGTCTACATTGCCATCATTAACCACGGCATCTCTTAAATGAATGTACTCTTCTGCTCTTAATTTTTTTTGATTTCTTTTTATGAAGTCAAGCCTCTCATAAATCATTTTTGCCGCCATATCAACACAGTATTGATTAAATAATCCTTTGAAATAATGTATGCTGTTAAAGTCATTTATTCTCACCATGAGTCTAAATGCATAAAACTGCATACATGATATTGTTTTAGATCTAGCAGCAGTATTTTGCTGTGGAATATTTATACAATATCCGT